TCAAAACCTAATTACATCCGCTAACACTCCCCCTCAAGTTGAGCATGAGATTAACGAGTGCACAACTTGGACAATTAAAACAAAACTAAGACTAAAAAAAACTTGATAAACAACTTGAACTTGATTTGCTGTGACAACAACAAACGAAGGTGACCGGCCCTGCAAACGAACAATAAATTTTAATGACGATTGACTCCCACGCGATGACACGGGGACGACTAACAAGCATCCCAAACTTGGAGGCCGTTTGCCGGACTGAGGCGCGACTATGCGACCAACCTCACAAATTGATATGTCGGACTGAGGCGCGACTATGCGACCAACCTCAAACAAACATGCCGAACATACAGCTGGATGCACTTGAACTTACCAAATAGCAACCAAAAAACAATGTCGCCAAAACGTCATCAAATTTTGATGAACAGTAGGGTTTGTCCAACCTACGAAGCATTATCCAAACCATTGTCCAAAGTGATGAACACCAAAATCATTAATAGCCAATGTTAAGATTGGATGAACAAAAGCAAAATCTCCTGTGATGAATGAAATCGGCTGAAGGAATCACAAGAACAAATCATCAAATTAAATATCTTGAGGCGGTGAGTGGACTCCTGAGAGCAGATCTGGACTTCGAGCAAACTCGATGGTGACGCCGAACCAAGAACACAAACACAGTCAGATCCGAAATTCGAAGCAGCGAATAGAAACAAATCAACGGGCGACAACACTTGCACCAAACAGAACCAGGACAATAACAGAAGACGGGACAATAACAGAAGACGAGACAGATGAAGATTTTTTTTGGGTAAAACGATGGCAATGCCGCCGTCGCCGGACTAACCACCGACGACGGCGATAGCAGAAGCAACAAATTAGAACAAACTAGGGTTTAGGTTTCCAGGTTGGCTCTGATACCATGTAGAAATATAATTAGAACTAAACTTGATGAATACATTGATCACAAACGCCTTATTTATACAAAAATAGTTCTAACCTAATCACAAGCCCACTAACAGGCCCAATAATATCAAAACCTAGTATCACACCCGTGCGTTGCACGGGTCATTTTTATGTTATTAAATTCAAATTATTTTTCAATGATAAAAATGAGATGCAATAAAATATAGAGATTATATTATTTTAAGGTTAAAAACATCATTGTTTTACAAAAATCGAAAGACTTCTTTATAGACTACATTATTGTGGGGATATTTATAGTATATTTAATTGTAATAGGCTATAGGCTATTATAATTATAATTATAATAAGAAGGGTTAACTTTTTTCGAAATTGGGTGTAATTATTCTTACCATAATTATTTTTTTCGAAACTAGGTGTATAATTGTATAACTTACCCTTTTTAATTATTTCCAATTTTTAAAAACTTACTCTTTGCATTTGTATAACTTACCTTTTTATATTACTCATATTAATTATTATAAAAATAATAGCTATTATTATATTTATACCTTTTTTAATAATTTTAAATCCACAATTTCAGCCACTTACCATTTTAACATCACAATTATTTACTTACCTTTTGGCCATTTTATAATTATTATAAATATAATAATTATAATAAGTATTACTACAATTTCGGCCACTACAATTATTAACTTACCTTTTTTAATAAGTTCTAATTTTCAATATGTTAATTATTATATTTATACCTTTTTTAATAATTATAATTTCACAATTTCAGCCACTTACCATTTTAACTTCACAATTATTAACTTACCTTTTGGCCATTTTATAATTATTATAAATATAATATTATAATAAGATTTAATAATCGTAAACCTTTCCTTATGTAATCGTAAACCTTTCCTTATGCGTTCCTTCCATCATTTTTCTCACTTCTTTCCTTTTTTATTATGTTCACATAAAAAAACACATGGTTTTAAATCTTTACGTTATATCCTTCTTTTAAGCTTTCCTTTATTTTTAGGAAAAGTCATTATGTTCTAGTGCTATTTAAGTAAATTTTTCTTTTTAAAACAGTAATTTGNAAATACTAATTTGGGTAGGAATAATTTACCTTTTTTAACGTACTAAAATAATCGTAGGTTTTAATCTTTACATTATATCCTTCTTTAAATCTTTCGTTCTTTTAAAATGGTAATTTGCATAGGAAAAAAATATTTTTTAAAATAATCACGTTCCATCTCTTTATGTTTGCCATTTTTAAAATAACCTCTTTTCTTGTATGAATAAATTTCCTTTTTTATCACATATTTAAAAAATAATAATGATATCAAAATATAAAGTAAATTTTTATTTCTCAATTTTTTTCCTTGTTAATCTGTTTACAAAAAAAACACACGGTTGTAAATATATACGTTATATCCTCCTTTAAAGCTTTCCTTTTTTAAAATGCTAATTTTCATAGGAATAAATTACCTTTTTTTACACGGTTGTAAAAAAATAAAAAATTATCAATAACACCCTTTATGTTTCTAGAAAAAAACACACGATTGTAAAAACATTGAATTCCTTCCTTTTTGGTCAGATTACAATGCAATCAATTGGTATAAATGAATTAGTGAGAAATTTCCTTTAATATATCCTTCTAAATTGGTAATAATACACAACTAATCATAACCGCAAATCTTTTTCATACATTGATATCAACGGTGCAGGATTATAGTGCATTGGGCGGGAAAAAAATTCCCCTGCTTTTAAGAATAGAGTGATTATAAACAAATTTAAGGACCTTTCTTGTTTTTTTGAAAATATAGAGACCTAAGGATTGTTTCGACAAAACATGCATTACCCCAGAGCAGTTTTTGTATACTCTTGTCTCTTATTTTCCTTTTCGTCCTTTTTTTCGTTTGTTCACAAAAATATCATATTTTAATATTTACAAAATATTTCGAACCAAACTAGCAATTACTTTTTTAATATTTCTCTTTTTAAACACGATGTTGCATAAACGTCTCTTCTAAAATAGACTTAGATTACTTATAAAAACTCATTATGCGTATCAATAATACGCGATAGTGATGATGATCGTAGTAGTAGTAGTAGTAGTAGTAATAATAATAATAATAACATGTATTTTTTAGAATTTAAATTTTAGAAAATTTATAATAAATTTTCAAAAAAATTATTATAGGCAATTATTACAATTTTATTGCTACTTATAATTAAAATATGAAGTATCTTACAAGTTATAATTTTTTCAAAATGCTAAAATTAAAAGTAAAATCTTGTAGAAAACATGATATAAAACTAAAAGTAAAATATCCCCCATAAAATATCTTCCAATTTTCATTACAAGAAAAAAAAATTTGACTTGTGTGTTAAATACAAAGTTAATCAAGTAATAGATAAATTATGAATCAATTTTGAAGTTATATGAAATGTGACAAATACACCAGAAAACTAAAATAGAAAATCATATGTATGCACGTTGGCCAAATTTTTGAAATTCTAGCAAATGATACTTTTTGTTAAGGGGTATATCTTTTAAATTTGAGTACCTTTTAGTTAAAAAAAGGAAAAATTACCCAAAATAATCCCAACTTTACCCGGTCTTTCAAAAATAATCTCACCTTTCACTGTGATGCATAATAATCCCAACTTTACTGAAATTTGCCAGTTTTGGGTCGCCGTTAAGTTTCTAACGGAGGGTTAACGAAAATGCCCGTTTTAGGCAACAAAATGAAAGTTGGGATTATTTTTGATTAATTTTCATTTTTTTAATTTTTCATTTAAATTTTTAAATTACTTTCTACCTCCATCATCATTTCTTTTTCCTTTTTTAACGATTAGTCTTAGTTTAAAAAATAAAAGTAATAGATATAAAAAATGAAAAAATGAGAAATGTAACTAAAATGATACAAAAATAATAAAATAAATAAGGTAATCAATGGAAACTAACTTGAAATTGGTAAAAGTAAAATAAAAATATACGGGTGGGTTTTAATATTTTACACATTATACAAAGTATTAACATATCACTTCTTATTTTTAGAAAAAATTATCTACAATAATTCTAACTTTACCAGACGGCTTGTTCTTTTAAAAAATAAGTTTTGTAATAAGACTCCGTATAGTGTGTAAAATGTTAAACCCCACCACTGCGTATATATTTATTTTATTTTTTACCAGTTTCTGTTTAATTTCTATTGATTACATTATTTATTTGATTAATTTTGTATGGTTTTAGTTATTTTTTCTCATTTTCAATATTTTTTATATCTATTTTTTTCTAAGGTAAGAATAATCTTTAAAAAAGAAAAAGAAATGGAGGTTGAAAGTAATTCAAAAAATTTAAATAAAAATTTCAAAAAAAATTAAAAAACAAAAATTCATCAAAAGTAATCCCAACTTTCATTTTGTTACCCAAAACGGGCATTTCCGTTAACCCTCCGTTAGAAACTTAACGGCGACTCAAAACTGGCAAATTTCAATAAAGTTGGGATTATTATGCATCACACTGAAAGGTGGGATTATTTTTGAAAGACCGGGTAAAGTTGGGATTATTTTGGGTAATTTTTCCTTAAAAAAAACAGGTAAGTATTTTCCTAATTTTCTAAGAGAATTCCACAGATTTGAATCAATCTCTCTTTCCATTCCATTCAAACTCAAAAACCCTGATTTTCAATGTTAATATCCACAGATGTGTGTGGAGGAGAGAGGACGGCGTATGCGGCATCCATACGCGCTCCGACGAGGCCATCTCCGCCGCCAACCCTAGCTTCGGCGAGGACGGCGTTGCCACTAAGGATCTCCATAATGACCCCTCGACCTCTCTTTTCTCGCAGGATTTTTTCTCCCGGATTCGGCTGTAGCGTTGCCTGCCCCAATCCCTGAGATCAAAGTCAGGGTTATCTCCGTGAAAAGTGAGCTGCAGGGATGAGAGGAATATGTCTTTGTCAGAATGTGTGTGTGTGTGTGTGTGGGGGGGGGGGGGTATGGAGGGTATTTGCTGGATAAGAATGGGAGGAACTGCAGGAAATTGCAGTTGTGTGGGTAGGGCCTGTGACACCGTGGCCAATGATTTGATCTGTAGAAGAATAGCCAAGTCGTGCGACTCCATGGCCTGTGGCAGTCGGTTAAAGGTGGGCACCAGAGAGCCGCTACCTAGCTGCATTTGATGATGGGTTGAAGGTTTTGAATGGTAGTAGGGGGAGAAGATGGGTGGAGAAGGCAAATAGTTGATGGTTTTTGGTCTTCAATTGATTGTTGAGCCTTGGTTAGCTTCCCATGCTGACCATCCTAGGTACGATAATCAAACTCTTCTTTTCATTTTCATCTTATCCAATCTTTCTGTATTGCTGCTACTGCATATACACTTCTTTTTTTCCTTTAGCTAAATAGTTTGATCCAACATCATTTCTTGTTTATTGAGCTCATTGGCCCATTGCATTTGGTCTTATCTAAAGTTACAGTTGCTTAAAAGGTCAATCTCCATCTGTAGTGGGAAGCCTTTCATCAATTAATCTTGAAATTTTAAAATAATAATGAAGTGCTGACAAGCCATTTTAAACTTGTTTGGGAGAAGATCTTTTCTTTAGTGCTATCAATACCTATATCTCACTCTGTGTATTGTGATTAACTTGCATTTGGGTTTTGCTCGCAACAATTTGAGGTCTTGGTCACCATAGAAGGTTGGTGTGCCCTATCTGTAGAATCATTAGGATGCTTGCACCCTTTGGTTTTGGACACCCTTTGGTTTTGGACTCGGTAATGCCTTGTTTATGACAAGTAAGAGGGAAATTGAAAAGAAAGAAAGATAGATGAGAGAAAAGGAAAAAGTTTGTTGCTTGGTTTGGGGAGAAATAGGGAAAAGAGAGAAAAGAACATGTGGGACGTGCTCATTTTCGCCATCTTTTTTCTTCAACTTTCTTTTTTTACTTTTAGTTTTAATTGTTTTAAGAGTTTGACATTTGAGTAAAAAGCTGATGTAGTAAAATTTGAGAATTCAGTTAATATAGTATGAGCTGTTTATTAAATTCCAGTTTTTTATTTATCTTGCAATTTTACTTTGAAATTAAATTTAATATTTTTTTGGGGTTGAGATTAAAAATTAATCTAGTATTTGAGATTTGAGAATTAGGTAAGTAAGTTAGTCACTCCTTTCATTATTTGTTTTCAGAGTATTTTTTCAGATTCTTTTTTTTTTGAGAGGTTTTCCCCTCTTTTCCTTGTATTTTTATTTTTATGCACTCTTTCAAGTTTCATGTATGGAAGAATCTCTAGATTTTGGGTTTGAAGATCAAGAACTGAAGGACCAATTTCTAATGATCCCGGATGGAAGTATGTTTGAATGTTCACAAAAACAAATGGGAGTGACCATTTCCTAATTTGTAATAAAATCCATGAAGTCTATACTTTGATTCTTGGCTGCTTTTTAAAATTTTCTTATGCTTTTCAACATTTTATATGTACTATTACTATTTTATAGATGCAATGCTACTTGTGCCTCAACGCGCGGATCGAAGCACTGGAGCCCCTTTGTGCATCGCGCCTTAAAGAACTATGATTTCCACTTTTAGAAAAGAGTTTGTTTCCATTAAAAATTTCTCTCTTCTGCATTACTCTCAACCACACAATTTCCTTTTTCTCAATCTCTGTGCCAATTCAAAGGTGGCACCTTTTTTATGGGACGGAGGGAGTACCAAACAATATTTAAAATCCACTTCAAAGTTATCTCAGTCTTTACAAAAGCGGCAGGAAAAAGTTCCCGCCTAAATATTGTTACGGTTCCGGAGCATCAACCATAATAAAGGTTCTACTCCCCAATTAACCAGCCAACCTCTGATCCCATTATTTCACGCAACCCATCGACAATATTAAAAACTGCTCCACTCCCCTGCCAACCTCCTAGCCCCCAAATTTTAAATCAAATAGTCATGGAGTAGAAACAACAAAGACATGGCAAAATTTTCAACCTCCTAGCCCTCCAGTCCGATTGTTAAGGCTGGCTTCTGGCGCCACGCTCGGGCCTTCAGTTCTCCGCAAATCCCAGGCACAAAGACACGGCAAATTTTTTCTTTATTTTATTTTTAAGAAAAGATATTTGGATTGTTTAATTTATGATTTTGAGTTTCCAATAAAAAATCTCTAACGGTGGAGGCCGGAGGGAGATGGGGAAAAAGGGCAGACGATTGAGGCAATTGAAGGCTAATACTTGGTAAATTGTTGCTGATTTATGTTCTTTATCTCCTTTGAATTGTTTTCTTATACGGAGTAATAAGTACTATTATTGCAAACGTGTTTTAGATTTGATTAATAAAACGTTCTATAATTATAAACAATGGATTTCATATTGTTGTTTATTCCAGGACCCAGTTTAAGTGCATACCTATTGAAGATTTTATCTATTTGTGATTTAATCTATTTGAGATGTTTTGATATAGCAAAAATGAGAGCATTAATGCATTTTTAAATTCATTTGTCCTCAAGTAATGTTCATGAACAATCAAATAGCCAAAAGCAGTATACTTCTTGACCTTAAGAATTTGCTTTTATGGATGGAGTTTACAATGTTCAGTATGGGGTTAAATATGGTTGTTTGGCCATCTTTTGATGAAATATATAGTATTTTTATGGGTTCTATTTTTAAAGTTTGGCTGAAAGTAACATATTTTTTAAGATTTATGTTTGTGTTTCTTTTTTTAATCAAGTAATATCACATATTATTTAGAAAGGAGAATGCAATGCGATTGAAACCAGCTTTACGTCCATTATTCAGATGGATATAAAACTTTGATTATGGGTTCTATTTTTGAAATTCAGCTCCAGTACGAGCCATTTTCAGTGTTTCTGTTTTTGTTACTTTTGGCTTAAGTATTCCAGATTTTCATCCTTTTATTGATATATACTTTGATGTTTAATAGTTGAAATTTTATTCTTTGGTACAAATCAACGACGCAAGCAAAATGTGAATGAAAGCCACATGTTAGAGTAGCCTTATTAGAAAAAGAGAGACTATGCTCTATTGATCAAACCTTATTTAATTGAAAGTTTTATAAGTGAAGGTAGACCGCTTCAATTATCGTGTTCTTAATCTTTAATCTTTAATTTTGAACGATGCATTTGAGCAATTGATTGGGCTTACATGTCAAATACGATTCGTAATCCCTTTGTACTTGAAGATTTTCATCAAGTTTATGGTTCTGGAATATCAACTGAGGGAGTATCTGCTTGCAAAATGCAAATACTTTGATAATTGAGCAAGACTTTAAGCTTAATACTACTTCATAATGTGGGTTGTGTGGTGTTGTTAAATTTTGTTTATCCAATACGCATCTTTATTCATTTTACCCCTATTTTTAATTTGATAAAATGTTGTAGTTTTTGCTGATTGTTTTTTGAGATTAGAGGATGTAGCAATGTAATTTTGTTCTCCTTTATAATGGTGATATCTTCTAGAACCACTCTCTTCCAAAAACTAACTAACATGCAGCATAGATTGGGGTGTCAATAGAGTTACTAATCAAGTTTTGTGCACGTGTACTTGGTAGGAACCATTTGGGCTTACCTAAATGGTGGCGTTTGTGAGGTAACTTCAAGCAGAAGTCAAACATTGAGTAGTGGTAGAGGGAGCTTCTATAGACATTGAGTAGTTGGCAAAGAGAGTTTCTATAGACTATGAAGCCTTGCCGTATTCCACCAAGATACACTCCAGTTTCTCTTGAGAGTAGCACCGAAACTCCATATTAATATAAATTTTTTTCTCAAAGTGACAAAAGCTCCACAGATCAAGATACTGCGTAAAGCAGAGCCATCGTATTCCATACCCAATGGAGAGCTTTACAAATACTAGGAGGCAGCAACTCTCTTGACTTCACAACTGCAGTTGCGACCTAGCTTATGAAGGTGCTTGGGTTGGGTCAATTTCTTCATTGTTTTTACAATTTGTTGCAAGTCCTTTATGACATTAGTGTAGTTCCAACAAAAGAATCTTTAAATATTAGGCGTAGTATTGGTGAGAAATTGATCAATTGTACGTTGTTGTTTCACAAGTGACTAATCAACAAGACTTGAGATGTTGAAGATATAAATTTGTAATGACCAAAACATATTAGCTAGAGGACTTGCCTATTTTATACTCACAATACCAACTATTTCAAATAAATTTGGAGTTTAGTGACTTATCATTTTATCTCCAATTATAAGTTATTTATATATTTCATTATGTTTGTCGTTAGATAAAATATTCGCTGTGCATCGCACGGGTTAGTGTCTAGTTGGGTTTCAAAGGACTGAACGTAACACGGAATCATCAGCTACCCTCTAACACAGTTGTTTTGTTTTGTTTTTGTTTGTAGGTGCGTTGTCCTTGGAGTCAGCTGTGGTGCTAATGTAGCAAACTATTTCAGAAGATACACCATTTCCTCAAGGAAACATTTGGATCAAGTGTCAAGTCCTTTTCTACCTGTTCTTCATCGGCACCACCCCAACATCTTCTTGATGATAAGGATGCGTTCCATGAGTTTGTGCCACCCTTGAGGTGCTGCTAAAGACCCCACAAGCTCATGCTTGTTTAGAGAACATTTCTCTAAACAATATCAAAGGGAATGTTTATAGATTTTTAGGGGCGTGTAATTTGATAAGAAGCTAGAGAATGCTGAAAGGTTGTCTGTGCATTTACCAGTGCAGCAATTTATTCTTTGTTTCGTTGGAATATTTGTTGTATTTATACATTTACAGAGTAGGTTTCAATCAAAATAGGACCTTTTTTTGTGTGAAAAGTTTGATGGCATTTAGTTTAGTGGTGTTGCACAGCTATATGAGTAATATGACCCATAATTTTGCACATTTAGTTTGCGTCTGTCGTACAGTGACAATGAGGTACTTGGCTAATTGTACACCGTTTATTTAGAGACTAACACTATGTGTTTATTTAGAAACTAACACTATGTTTGGTTCAAGAAATTTGAAAGAAAAGAAGTGTAAATAATTTTCTTTCATTTTTCTCATCAAATTAGAAGAATTTGGTTTTCCTTTCTCTTAGTACATTTTGTCTTTTCATTTTTTTTACCTTGTATCTTTCTTTTCTTTTTTTTTTCCTCTCTAATCAAACAAGAAAAATATTTTCTTACACACTTTATTTTCTTTTCCCTCTTAATTTTTTTGAACCAAACATAGTGTAAGTGGGTTTAGTGTTGTATGTATTCTTTAGATACTACCAGTAGTACATATTTTTTGTTTGTATACTTTTCTTTACAATTTTTTTGAAAGCATTTTTCCTTTCATTTTAGTTTGGCAATTTTAATATAAGATGAAAAACTACTCTTGGTTGGCTTTTCATTTCTGTCTTTGGGAATAAATTGATGAGAAATGTAAAAATTTGAATAGTGCTAAATTAATGGCAAGATGGTCTTTTAGTTATACAAAAGTGAATATTCTTATGGAAATGGAAAGAAAGATATAGCAAGATTGGAGAAAAAAAGAAAAATATACGGAGTAGAATGGTAAGAGTTAAAATTTAGCGAAAGAAATGGACAAATTTAGGGTTATTTACTTCTCATTCATTAACATTAGTGTAATCTCAATTTTAATACTACCGGTGCGTATTAGGGCAATGGCTAGGTCATGGAGAATGAAGAGTGTTCGCTTCGTAACTAATCAGAAACAAGTCATAAGCTGACTTATAAGTTAAAAACGGTTTCTAAAGAGTTTTGCCCCGCTTATAAGTACAAAGAAACACCCACAAAATATCAAGTAGCTAAGACATACTTATTTTTTTTGATTTATACACAAATTATAAGTCAATTTATAAGCACAAAAAAAACATGCCATCAACTGAATTATAAATTAAAAACTGCTTATAAGCATTTTTGGCCAGCTAATAAATACAAAGAAACACCCACAAAATAACAAAAAAATTTCTAAGAATTTTGTGCAAGGATTCGTGGTTGAGGCCCGGGAGGAGCAAATTTGAGTACCTAGTGGTAGTGGAATGAAAAGAGGATGATACATCTAATGATACATCCATAGCATTTTGGCATTGACAACAACACATGCATACATAACAGAGATCACACACGCGGATCAAATGTTCATATTAAAAAAGTATGGATGGATTTGCAATTCGTACAGTAAGCAACAAACAATGCAAGGTGCTGCATTGTTATAATTATTAATGATAATTAATAAATACGGAAAAGGGTGGGGAGACAGCAGGAGATGCATCATCATCATGGATCAAGCATCGGGCGATCAAGCTGTTTTGCGGATGATACGACGTTTAAGACGAACATATCTCATACCATAGTGCCCACACCGACCATCAATGCAATTGCATAGCCGACAAGCAAATCCGATAGTCCTCTCCAACTTCAGTCACGCTAGGAGGGACCTTACCCCAGTACAAGGGACAGACAAGAATGTTGCAGCCCATCCGAAGGCATACCCTACACGGGGTGTCCTCCGGCGGTTCCCGGCAAATTCTACAGGGAGCGTCCTCACTACATGGGCCGTACTCCAGCTCTTCTTCACTCTTATGCTCTTTCGATTCTTCCTCGTGTCCTTTTCTTGAGTCTTCTTCTTCTTCTTGTGATGATGATGATGATGATGAGTCACTCATAGAGTCGTCCAAATCTTCTTTCTTCTCACATGCATCATCTATTTTGTTTACAAAAAGTGAAATGTTCACACGCAAATCACATTTTACATGTGTGTGTGTGCGTGCGTGTATACACATATACACACACGTATAATATACTCCCTCCGTCTCATACTTTTCTTTCCAGAGCATTGTTCTAATTTCATGAGAACTTTTACTTATTAGTATTTTTTCTTGACCTATATGATAAAATAAAATGTTCTTGTCACTAGTTTTATGTAACTTTTGATGTAGCTTTAAATATGTAAGTTTTATTGTTTATTTCTATACCAATATTTAAATAAAAACATACCAAATAAAACTTGGGAATTTTCTTCGTTTTGCACAACGTAAAGAAAGATATGAGACGGAGGGAGTATAGAAAAGAAGAAGAAGAAATGAAGAAAAACATTGTACCTTGTGGCTTTGGCGGATTTCCGAATCTTAATTCCTTTTCCTGAACCCTGCATTGTTTCCTGCGAGACTGGTACATGCTTCTTAATTGCTTTGAGGGGGGAGAACGTCGGTGCAACCAAATACCCATTATCCCCATCTTACTACAAGGGATGTATACACTTCTTTTTTTAGTGAACCGATTCGTGCCTATTTTCTTCTTCACAGGTTTTGGGTAATTCAGCCTGGTCACACCAAAACAAACACCCATCTCCAAATTTGTACATCATCAACAAAGGCATTACAAACTCACACACCCAAAAGGAAAGAAAAAAAATAAAGGTTGCATAGTGATTGGATGTAAATCAGTTTTTGACAAATTATTAATATAAATGCTCATCCCCAGCCCGCGACCCGAACCGACTCTCCACCCTTCTAATTGCACTCCACGAGTTTAGTTGGCGTTGGTCAAAATTTTGACCACAATGTCAACTAAATCTGTGAGGTGCAATTGGAGGGGGGTGGGGCTGGTAGGGGTAGAGGCCGGGGTGGAAGCATTTATGGGGGGAGTCAGGTGTAGGTACTGCCATTTTTTTAAATGGACACTGTAGGCCCCCCGGGTACTTCCCATTATCATGGGAAGCATTGGGTATTACACCCTCTGTCCCAAATTCTTTGCTACATTTCAAAGGGCGTGCAAAATATCATCTCTTTTTTTTTGAAACAAATGCACATATTCATTCATCACCAAAACTGCAAGTATACATGATCTATTACATCTCAAACTCAAAAACCAAAACAAACAGTTAAGACCAACAACTAAGACCAGCACCTACTGGCCTTCTAAACTTTATGTTTACTCCAAAAAATATTAAGTTGTGATATAGCCCAGCCAAAAATTTCTTCTTCCCGCAGCTTTTCCTTATCATGTAAGCTTTTGTTCCTAGCCCTCCAAATAGCATAACATCCTGCAGAAAAAGCACTCATACACCTTAGTTTCTTCTTGCCTTTGATCCTCCCTAGGCCATCTCTGATCTCTTCAATACTCCCCCCGCCTATTTTGCACTCCAACCATGCTGACAGTTTTTTAAGGATAGCTTGTGTTACCTTACAGTTGCAAAACAGATGATTCACATCCTCCTCTATTCCTTCACAACACTCACAAGTTGTATCAATATTAATAAACCTTCCAACTCTTGCCTTGGTGTTTAATCTGTCCTTGCATATCAGCCACATCAGGAACTGGTGCTTGGGCAATGAGAGTTTGTTCCATACTAGGGGGTACCAGTCCACTCTATTTCTCAACCCGATAAGCCAAGAGTAGCCTTTTTCAGTAGTATACTCACCCGCTAAATCCATCTTCTCAAACCAACCCCTATTATGCATAATCTTTTTCCAATAGAAACATTTATCCCCTACCGATTTATAACTTGACACCCCATCCTTCATATATCTCTCGTGGATCCATTTAACCCACAAGCAGTCCTTTTTGTTTGCCACATCCCACCAATGGTTTTGAATATATGCCCTATTCCACAGAATCATATTCCTTAAACCCAAGCCCCCATAAGTTTTAGGGAGACAGACTTCCTCCCAATTAACCAGCGGTCTCTTGCCATAGTTGGCTTTTGCACCCCACAGGAAATTCCTACAGATGCTCTGCACAATTCTCATCACTCGAGTAGGAATTACAAACAGTTTGCACCAAAAGGTCATTATACCAAGTAACACACTATTGATCAACCTACACCTCCCCGCATAGGATAGGTGTTTAGATGCCCAGATAGTGATTCTACTATTCTAGCAGTAATACTTTCTACTAACCTGTCACCTAAATATCATCTCTTTTAAAATCATTTTATTTACACATTAGTAGAAAAATAAAAAGTAAAAATTATACCTTTCAAAAGTACATCAAAAGTTTTACAAAACGAGATGCGACAAGAATATTTGATTTTGTCGAATCATCAACCAAAACGAGTAAAAAGCAAACTATCGAGAGGCCGAAATAGTAGTTGTGGCCTTCTTTTTGGGACGAAGGGAGTAATATCTATGGAGTAATTTTGAAGAAAAACATGGGATTTGTGCTATCTTTTTGAATAGGGAAGGTGAGACACACCATAAACTACAGTCTTATTAGATACAACACACACATGCTTTGTGCAAAATCATAGACAGTTAGGCATGAAATCAAACAAAGCAAACAAGCAATAAAACAAATTACGAGCGCATAGAAGAACATATGGCAGATGATATAAAGGGGGAAAAAACGTAAACACAAAATCAAGGACGAAATCAGATGTATTACCCGGACCGAGGCCCCCTTTTCAGGGTCGGAGACATAGAATTTCGCTTCGCATCCGAGACCTTCAGCATGCCTTCACAGACTAGAGGGAAAGGATAGATAAAAGGAAACTCAATCGGCAATGGCTTTTAGGGTTGTCAATTACTCTTATACTTTATATAAAAAGATGCCTATTTAGTCATAGTTTTCAGAACCGAACCGGTGATCGAACCGGCTAAGGCACTGATTCACTGGTTTACTGATCGAACCAGTGGTTCAAGTGGTTGAACCAGTGGTTCAAACATATTATATATATATATATACATATATATATATATATATATATATATATAAACACACACGTTGTGACATTGAATTAAAAAAACTAATATATGAGTAAACAAAAAATATTTCTCTATTTATAAATAAATAATTGATGTTTGACTAAATTTATAATTTACTTAAGTTGTGTCATCACATATTTTAAAATGCTTATAAATAAAAAGTGATTTGAATTTTCTTAAACATTTTACCTACAGAATAGTATTTAAAATATATATATATAAATAAAATATTTGTGTGATATACACTTCATCTCAATTATATAAATGTGTTTTGAATTTTAGTTTAAAAAATCTCACTTCATCTCAATTATATAAATGTGTTTTGAATTTTAGATTAAAAAATCTCTATTTTTTTAAAAGTATTTGATAAAGAATTTTCCAGTTAAAGCATATTAAAGAGGAATAGCAAGGTGTCAACACCAAGCATTGTAGTGGAGATGGTTTGATACTTGCTCTATACGGCTCTGGGGTCTTGGCTTCGAATCTGGGCTTGCGCATTTTTAAAAAATTTTCAAAAAAAAATTAAAAAAACCGGTTCCGGGCAAAAACCGGCCGGTTTTTTCCGGTTTTAACCGGTTTCTACTGGTTTAATGTTGGAGCCGGTCTAACTGCCCGGACCGGACCGGTTTGACGACCGGTTCACCGGTTCCCGGTTCGAACCGGCCGGTCCGGTCCGGTTTTTAAAACTATGTATTTAGTACTCTATTATCAAATATTACCCTATAGGTTCTTCTTTTATGGATATCTTACCCAAACAGTCCTTTTTTTAATCTTTTATCACGTTGCTGTTAATTTGAGGGCTAAAAGTGTAATTTCACAATGATAATATATCTTTTTTGTCATACGCAATTCCAAAGGCTATTCCGTTTGCGTCATTTATGAATTACAATCGCTTTTTACTACAATCATAGTCTACAAATGTGGTCTTTCGTCAGAATCCTAGCCCACAATCATAGTCATTATTTTTGTGTTATCCGCTTAACCAATATCAGAACACGTCACTAGACATAATGTTGATGTCAAATTATACTTTTAGCCTTTAAATTAACGTCAACACGGTAGAAGATCAAAAAAAGACTACTTATAGAAAGGTACCCTTAAAAAAAGGACT